ATGGTTTCACGGGTAATTTTCCATAAACGTGCAAGTGCGTTGGTTTGCATGACCGAATCAGCGCCATTTACCTATTTGAAGGCCTATCACGTTTTGTCCTTTTCACAACACATTTTCATATCAACAGGCTGGCATAACCGGATGTGAGAAGATAGTTGAGAATCTTCTGTTTGCAGTGAGCACCCACACAAATTTTCCCTGCTACATCTGAGAATTCTTATGCATGTGACTTATGAGGATGCACTTGCTGGTGAAGGACATAGGCTGCCATTCAATACCCAACCAATGCACTTGTCCATTGTCTTGCTCTTATTAAGTAGTCGATTTAATGAAAGTATATCTTGCGCTTGTTCATTTTCCTATGCACTTTCAACAGATAGTTTGCATTATCTGTTTTTTCTGGGAGTTGGAGCAAAGAATTAGTTATGTTTCCCTTATGCTGTCAATCTGAAGTATTTCTTGCTATGTCACTTCAGATTAAGAACCCTGCACAGCTAGATGTTTCACTGTCAGTCCTGAATCCCGTGACCACACTGCCGGGTCATAAGGCGGTGGTGAACTGCACGCTGTGGCTTCCAACCAAGAAGGGTGCATTCAAGGTCTGCTACCTCCTTTTTACACTTATTTTCTCTGTCTCTCTTAATTCTCTTTCTGTTGCATCTGAACTGAAATGAGTAGCTAAAATAATCAGGCTGAAACAAAATCATGTCTTGTACTGTTGTTCATGCGCTGAGCTACATTTGAGGCAAAATTAGAGTATCATCCTGAGACGATTGTCTTAATGGATAATTGATCGTACTTGAGAGGGGTTAGCTATAGATACATAGCACCAGTATACATCAAGCAAAAGAATGATTAATCTGATCCGGTAATGAGTACTGAACAGTTGGCTGGTGGTTTGTTAATTTGTTCCTCTGTAATTCGAAGCAGGGAGACACACTATCTATTGTCCGGAAGTTCTGATGGTGCTATTATGACGTGGAAGATTGGTTCTGGAATAGGCAAGGTGAATTTCTTCTGTTTCACCCTATATGTGTTTGTTGTCGTTTGAATTCTGTTTGAAGCGCCTTTGCTGCAATTTCTTGACATTAGATTTTTCTTTCATCTTCTCAAGTGGTTGCTAGGAAAAAGTTTGCCTGTTTATCTTAATCAAGTCGGCGGGCATGGCGCTGCTGCATCATACTTGCATGGCCCGATGGCGCCCGTCATCGTCCATGAGCAGGACAAACAGCTGGCAATGGAGCCGCTCTGGGCTCCAAGACGAGCCGCTCTGGGCGCTCCGCCGTGCCGCCGGTTCCTCCGGCAATATCATGAACACCAAGGAATACGCGCAAATGATCAGCTGGCCCATCAACTCCAGCAAGAAGCAATAGGCTGACGTCGCCTACGCGGCGATGACTGAAGGGACGCACAACAGTGCCGTCGTCATCATGAACATCATCACGTTGGTCGACGCCTTCTTTGATGCGGTGAGAACAGTTCATCCTAATCAAATTACTTAATCCACTGCGAACATCAGATTAACTTGAGATCATCTCCTGCATGCAGAACAACTAGATGGAGCTGTTCCCTTCTAATGTGTGCAAGGCAATGGCCATTCAGGTCATACACCATGGCGCTGCTTCTGGCGAACTCGGCAGTTGATCTCTCATATTGGTAATCACTGTTTGATGCTTCAGGTTTCATCCTCCTGCCCTATTCCACTTGATTTTTCCAATATGGTAAATATCAGCAGAAAAGAAATTCACTGCTAAAGTTAACAATATATATGTGTAGAAATACATCAATAGAATAGATGTCCATGTAAATTAAGAATTTAGGATTAGCTACATCTTCAGACTGGAGCTGAGTTACAACTTCACTTGGTGGATCACTGGAGCTTAGGATACTATGAATAGTGACTTGTTGTGTTCAATCTGCAACAATAGGCTAAACAAAATGTAGTGTATTATGTCCAGAATGTTTAAAATGGAACGGTTAAGTTTATAAGATTGTGTGTATCTAAAAAGAAGGTTTGGAGTTCAAACAGTTCTCATAAATTTATGCAAATGATATCCACTTCAGAAATGTCATTCCTATGTTGGTAACAAACATCGTGTCTTGCTTTTAAAAAGGGCAACCTGGTGCATGTAGCTCCCGCTTGCGCAGGGTTCAGGGAAGGGTCCGACCACTTTGGGTCTATAGTACGCAGCCTTTCCCTACATTTCTGTAAGAGGCTGTTTCCAGGACTTGAACCCATGACCTCATGGTCACAAGGCAGCATCGTGTCTTGCTTTTACAGGGGATATATTGAAGCAGTAAGAGAACTTGACCAGAAAATTCAGTTATCTGGTGATGTTCAGTTTGACGACATTGTTGTTGCCTGCGGCAGGTATTTCATCAGCACCCACTATATCCTTTTCTACGAACGTAGTTATGCGTGCTTGTGTCAGGCCTAGATCCTGAAAGTTGTGACACTGACACTTCACGGCTTGATGATATTGAATTTTGCAGTGGTCGAACCGCGTCTTTGCTTTAGGATCAAAATTGTGTATCTTAATGGCAAAAGCATGAACTTTCTTTGGCTATTGTCATACCCTGGTGAAGTTTAAATAATAATTATCTACAGGTAGGATAGGTCCATGCTTTCTCTGTTTGCGATGACCCTGAATACTTCTATGATTATGTTCAAGGCCTGATTGATGGACTACAATCTGGCTTGGATTCATATGATATAGTCAACATTCAAACTGTTAGTATATCCTATCCGTAATGTTAGGTAATTAAGTGATGACTGATGAAGATGATCAAATTGTTCACAAAATGTATGACTTCACAACTGCAAATTTGGTTGATGACGTTAGATGTCCTTTTCTGCCTTCCAGATATGTCCCAACAGTTCTACATGGCTATGATGAGTGCACTGGAATGCATACAAGCTGGCAAGGTTTTTTTTTTGTTTTTTGCCTTTGATGCTCAGTACAGACATATTTGATACTTATCATATTGAAAATCCACCCTTATGGTTTTCTACCCTCCTGCTTCATGTTCTGGTTTCATGTGTGCTCCTTCCTGTAATTTGTTTTTCATATTTTACAATTGTCTCATTATATTTCATAGGTAAATTTATTAACGAAGTGATGTGCAACCAAACTATTTTAAATCATTTGAGCTCTCTTTCCCATTGGTTATATTTTGAGGTGATTAAAGATTAAACCGAACCATAAGGGTGAGCTCGTCTGTTACTATGAAAAAGTTGTGAGTGATGGCTTGTGTTCTTTAGAGATTTTTAATTTAAGTGCGTAAAATGAACGCACAAGATGTGCCAAGGCACTCAAACAATACAAGTGCGCATATGACCGCGTCAAGAGGTGCGCCTGGGGATGGTGTGTGGGTGGGTGGGGTCCAGTGGCATGAGAGCAAGATTGTTAAAAGGTCCAAGCCTGTGTTGCTTGACTGGAATGAGATTGCAGAGAAATTTGGATGTCATTTGCTACATCAAGTAGTCTGGTGTGATCTCTACATTCACACGAAATATACTTATGTGAGGTTCAATTGTATAGTTTAGGCTTGCTCTACTTTATGAAAGGACACTTTTTCTATTGTAGTTATATTATCGTGCCTTCCATTTCTAACCACTAACATGTAATTGCCGCTCTCGCTAAACTAAGCCTATTGTCATACAAACACGTTAACAAATACGAGAGCATGATTTGTGCGCACAATCCCGTCTCAAGAGGCGCCACCAGATGGCGCCCCAATCACTAGTCACTTACCAAGAGGGCACAACAAGTGGCAAATCCCTCAACCCGTCCTAGGTGAAGACCCAGTCAAAAGCGAGATACCTAATTCAAAATCAGCAATCCCAAATGATTGTGAGGCCTCGAAAATTATGGAGCCTAGTGATATTGAAGATTTAAATTTTGAGCAAATATTGGAGGAGACGGATGGCAGGAGAGACAGGATTGGGGATGGCCAGGCTTGGGAGAGACAGGGCGGACTGGTTGGGGAAGAATGGTCGGTGCCATAGCGCTTAAAGTAAGATTCAATAATGTTTATATCCGACCCGTTACATTGGTATGCGCTTAGTCGAGCTGATATTAAATGTGTCTTTGTAAAGGGTTGAGACTAGCCTGACATTAATCAAGTAGAATTAAAACCTTCAACATATTTAACTCAATATACATACTAGTGGACAACATAAAATAGGTGTTGCATGACTGTAATCCTTTTGGAAAGATTCTGTACGAATCTTTTCCCCTTTCTTCGTCTCTCTTTCTGCCTCTCATACCACAAGTAGAGAACCTCAATGACACCTTCAGAACTCGTACTCATGCCTAGCACATGCACATTTGTATCGCTGGTGGCCCGTAGCTTGCCAGCCGATCGAGATAAATTTAACTATCCACGACGACTAGGTGACACGTGTGAACGGTCAAAAAAGGGAAGCCAGGACCCATAAAATTATGATTGTGCCAACGCAACCAAAAGTTCGAATTAATGAAAAGTGTTAGGCAATTCACATATTCACTTCAACGCCCCCTCTCACATGTGACGCCGGGGTAGGGCCGGGGAGTAGTCAACATGTGGAGGCCTATACGTGGACAAAGAAGGACGGCAACAATTTTTTGGCTAACACCCGCAAAAAAAAAACAATTTTTGGCTAGATTGCAAAAGTCAGGACTTGAACTCAAGACCTTGTCTCTGATACCATGTTAAGCTTCATACATTAGCTAACACAACCAAAAATTCAAACTAACAAAAAGAGTTAGGCAATCCACATATACACTTCAACAATGACAACCATATATGTATGCATGTTTTTCTTTTCAGCCCAAGTGCTAGTATTAGTAACACAGAGCTCTTTTTCTGAAAAAGTGCGTGCAATAATGGGACACGTACACGCGACGTCAAAATAAATTCTGTACAAAGTTATTTGGAGGAAAGGAAGAAAAAATGTGGTAATTTGCACACGATGATGTTGGTTTTGGAACTGATCATAAATCATAATGCACCCTGGATCAAGAGCCGAGCCGAGAGGCAGATGATAGTGCAACTGCCTGCGCCCACACCTTGAGCCTCGCCTTCACGTCCTTGGGGTCGTCTCCTGTTCCAAAATATATGGAGCATGCATGCATTTATCAGTTAGTCTCAGACAGTACTCCCTTCGTTTCTAAATATAAGTCTTTCTAGAGATTCCACCCGGACTACATATGGAGCAAAATGAGTGAATCCACACTCTACAATACATCTATATACATTTATATGTAGTATACATTAAAATCTCTAAAAAGACATATATTTAGGAACGGAGGAAGTACAAGAGAAGAGAAAGCAAGAAAACTCTGCAACACATCAACATCTATTAATATGGTTTTTCTACAAATGATAGTTTAAAAACTATGAGGTGTTTGGCACCAATAATTATTATAGTTTTATAAATGGCAGTGTTCCCAACACCGGCCTATTGGCTAATCTTCGTGCTGGAGACCATGTCGGAAAAGATGTGTATGTGTCACATCATTGTTTTGTATCAAAGATTCTCGCCAAGGGAATCTGGAGAAAGGGAAGATGGTGCTAGAGCCACACACTAATGCTAGGATCGTCTAGACCGGATGCTGCACCATCAAGGGAGGGTTGGCTGAAACTTATGTGTGATGGGAGCTATGTAGTGTAAACTAGCCAAGCAAGCCGCGATATGGCCCTACGCGATCATATGGCCTCCATTCGGTTTACGGCCTGCAGAGAGTTCCGCACATTTTCTCAAAAAAAGAGCTTCGCACATGTGATAGTCCCCTAGGAGGGGAGCTGGAAGGGTGTAGAGAGGAGAGCTCTTAATCGGCGCCCGTAGCACCAGTTTTTCTCCTGAGACACATAGCATCCTAACTCAAGATGGCAACGGGGCCCTGAAACCCGCATCCCCGCGGGCTTCTATCCTATTAGGGGGCGGAGGATGGGCGACTTTCTATCCCCGTGGGGCTACTAGTGGATACATTATAAAACCCGGCATATTTCGCGGGTTTAAACCAATTTCACTACTACACGAACCCGAAACTCGACAATACCCGTGAAAATATTTTTTTTTAGCATGCACTGATCCATCTTGACTCAAGCGGCCCAAAGCGGCAGCACTCGAGTGGCCGACCCCCCAACGTCGAGGCCTTGGAGTAATATGCTGATTTTTGCTGTTGAAATAGATGTGTTTGTTGCTTAAGTATGTTGCTGCCGTAATATGCTCCGGTTTTTCTTTCAAATGTTGTTGTTTCCTTTGACTGCTCGTGGGGACGGCTTCGCCATGGGTTTAGAAAACCCGACGGGTTTAGGGGACGGGCAAAAAACTAGCCGCATGCACGATAACGGTGACGAGGACGGGCTTGCGATTTTCTCATGGGGATGGGTTTGGGCAAGCAAAATCCGGCGGGTTTCATCCTCGTTGCCATCTTGATTACTAGGCCGCCCCATTTGCTAAGCACTGTAGCGATGGCGAGGGACTGTGTCGTCGGGAATATACTGTAGCGATTTCAGAAAAAGTCGGTGCATTGAATAAAATCATGACTTTGAAAAACTTCATGAATATTAGAAATTGTTCACGAGTTTAGAAAAAAGTTCATGAAAAATGAAAAAAAGATCATGAATTTGAAAAAAATCACATATTTGAAAAGATGTTCATGAATTTTAGGAAAGTGCATGGATTTGAAAAAAAACCCTCATAGATTTCCAAAAATATCACAAATTACAGAAAAAGTTCATGAATATGAGAAGAATATTCATGAATTTGAAAAAAATTCATGAATTTTTAAAATGTTCATAGATTTCAAATGTCTTCGATAATTTAAAAAAGGTTCATGGATTTCAAAATTGGTCATGAAAATGGAAAATAAATCTTTAATTTGCAAAATGTTAGCAATTTTATAAAATCATGGAAAATTTAAAATTTTCATGAGCTTAAAAAAGTTCGCAAGTTTGGAAAAAGTTCAAGAATTTTAGAAAATTTCCTGACTTCAAATGTTTCATTACTTGAGAAAAGTTCATGAAAATTTGAAAAAAATCATGAATTTGAAAACGTTCTGAAGTTTAGGAAGTTGACGACTTGAAAAAGTCCATAAATTGAAAAAGTTTGCAAAAGCAAAAAAAGTTCATAACTTGAAGAAAGTTCATGAATATTTGAAAAGGTTCATGAATTTGAGAAAATTTCACAAATTTTTTTAAAAATGAATTTGAAAATTTTCACGCGTTGAAAAAGAAAGATGGAAATATAATGAAAAGAAAAGGGGGCAATAAAAAAATTAAGTAAAAAACCATGCCAAAAAACCACAAGAAAAAACGCGCAAAAAACACTGGAAAAAGACCCTACATTGGCCGGCTCATTTGCCACGTAGTGTGGGAGGGATGTGCACCAGGGAGCGAAACTGCCTATAATTCGCGCTTAGGACGCCATATGATCCAGGTGTAGAGAGGGGCTTCATCTTGCACTGCAAAGAGCCCAACTACCCATCATAGTGGAGATAGATTGCTCTGAGGCGGTTTCTATGATCAAGGACGACACATGGATTGATCGAACATATGACCCTGGTGAGCGAGATCAAATCTATGAGGAGTGAGGAAAGGAACTTGTGTTTAGTTTAGTTAGCCGATCATAAAATAGGGTAAGTCATAGCCTTGTTGCCTAGCTATGGACGAGCTACGCCGCGCAGTGTGGTTGGGGTCCGAGCATTGGCGGGGATGTAGCGAGTAGTTGATATGTTGGGCCTCGGCCTGGATTGTAAAATTATGAATAGGTTTCTTTATCTTTTCATCTAAAAAAAGGTTTCTTTATCGTTTCTTCTTCTAATATATGATACATATGCTTGTGCGTATTCTAAACGAAATCACTCTATTTATCATATTATAGGACATGTATGTGTCAGACCATTAGCGAGTGCTTTGCACGTTCTTTGAAGTTGGTGGCATACAAGATGCCGACAAACTAGCGGTAGCATATAGCGTCGTGTCGTCCTACAAGTGTCCTTGTTACCAATGAATGTGCGTGGAATGATCATTGGCAGCAAGTCGAGGGAACCAGCTAGCAAACGTGGCGAACGAACACTAGCGAGCACAAAGCAGCTGCTCATCCAGGGCAGTGCACGACGCACATACACATGCGTCCGTCGCCATCCATCGCCCATCGGAAACTCAGAGCAAACGGCATGCATGCACCTCCGTTCATCGCCACGAATCAACGAAGGTGAGGGAGGAACGGTCGCGTCACTGAAATAAATTGTGTGCACGCCTACGTGTGTAGGTGCTTTCGTTCGAAAAGACTTGTGAATGAACCGGAAATGCGCACGCAAGCAGCACGGGGGCACTCACCTGTCAAGTCTTGCCGCCCATTCGTTTCAAGCGGATTAGCGCAGTAGTTCAATTCGGCACGAGGGCACCGTCAAAAAGAAAACTTCAAAAAGATTAACGATGGTACTTACGGTTTTTTGCATCTAAAACTGGCAAATTTCAACCAGTTTCAGATATATAATTTCAAGCAATTTTTTCTGTCGATTATAGACACAAAATAATTTATTTGTATCGACAGCTCATACTAAGTTTCAATGCTGAAACTTAACATATTTTTTAAATTTTGTCAAAATATATTCAAAATGGACATTATTGAAAGCGCTGGTCACGTGAAATACGAATATGAAAACAGAATTTAATTTGAATTTTGTGTTTGAAAGATATAAAACTTTGAAAATAAAAAGCGAAAATGAAAAAGCGGGCAGCCGGGACATGCATGCCCCGTACTTGCTGCCACAAATTCTCATCCGTGAATGAACGCGTGATATACTAGTTTCTATTTAAGGGGGGGCTAGTTGAGGGCTAGGCTCCGCTTCGGGGCAACTTCAAAGCCGCTCGTCAATTGGACAACGTTAAATATCCACGGACAAGTATGGATATGTTCGTGAATAACAGTAAGAGAGGCGGATATCCAACCATATTCATTAAATATTCGCCTCTTGTCCAATAAAGCGAGGAGGTCGAAGGAAGAAGGGCAAAAAAAAGGGTTTGTGATGGGGTTCAAGATTGAGTTGGCTTGTCTACAGCATGTCCGGACTTCTCAAACCTTGCACAAGTTTAAAGGTAGTTCGTGGGATTTCGAACGTCTGGACGCCTCCGGACAGATGTAGAAAATACTTTAAAAAGGGGCGTTGAATGATCAAAAGTGTCCGGACCACGGAGAAAGACATTTGAGACTGTTTTGGTAAACCATGTTGGAGTTGCCCTTACCTTCCACGTTACCTAGATCAGCGAGTGCTCAGTGAATGAGGGCTTCAGCGGTGTCATTTTACTTTTTTTGTCGTGTTCATAGCCTTGTTTTTCTTTACACTCCCTTTGTCCTATACTAATTGACGCTGAAACACATGTATCTAGCCGATAGACATATCTGTTTGCGTTGGTCGATGTTCTACTCATAAAACATAGCTAAAGTCTAATTTTGATCAATAACTTATAAATCATGCACCATGGCAGAGCCGCACTGCTATACAGTGCCCGATAAGTGAGGCAAACCGGCTAGCTAAAAGTAAAAGTAGGCAAACCGGCGGCAAAAGATGATTTCACATATATTTTTTCGACAATAATCGGTTTCTATTCAATACCACACACTTATATGTTATGTATATGAGAGGCGACATGCGGTTTATGCGAGGTGAAAGCCCCGTATGTCCAATTCAGCTCCACGGGAGCATTTGTTCCTGTGTGTCGTTTTTTTCTTTGCAAATGTAAAAAGAAATATAGACATGCACATGTCCAAATGTTATATGCAAATGTTTGGATGAAAGCCCAACCATTTTGCCCTATGTAAAACAATAAGTTGAGTGTCAAATATTTGGCCTTTTTAGATCACTGAACTTTTTTTGGGCAAAGGACTGCTCTGTTTGGGGAGAAAATTGTCAAACCCGATTTATTAGGCACTAACATGAACTGAAGTACAAAAGAAAATCAGAATTTTAATTTAGCGTTTGGGAAGCCAAAACGCCGTGCCCCGGAAGCCCCGGCTAGAGTTGACGTGAAATGGACGTGCGACGAACTAGCCGAGGGAACTGACCGGTAAACCGAGCCGATCGATCTCCGGCAAACGGATGAAATGCTTGTAGCGTCCCTATTATTGTCAAGGAGTGAGCACGTAGGTTAGATATCGATCGGAATTGGGATGCGGCTATTTTGCTTCCATGCTGGCCAGTAATTTTTTGTTTGTTTGTACAAGTAACAATTCTATGGAAAATTAATTAGCAAGCTGGTGGTAGTGGTTGTGGTTAATGATTTACGATGATGAGGGGACTAACCGGGGCTGGAGATGCGCCAGCTGCCGGAGGCCGGAGAGTTGCCGCCGCTGCTGGCAGTGTCGACGTTGGGGACCGCGTAGGAGGGGATCTCCACCGTCCAGTCGCACGGCAGGTCGAAGCCGAGGTCCTTACAAGCACGCGCCTCCTCCATGTCTATGGCCACGCCGCCCCGCGCAGGGGACTCGCCGCCATTCCCGACCACCACCGTCACCTCATCGCCGCGCTCGCCCAGCTGCTGCCGCTGCTTCCTCATCTGCCACGCGCGATCGAGCCACACCTCCCGCATCATCCGCTGACGCCGGTAGTGCTGCCGGCGCCTGTCGTGGGGGGCGCCAGGCCACCACCCCGCCTCTGTCTCGCTGGCGTAGTCCTTGGAGTAGCGCCACGGCGACTGCGACGGCGCTCCGCGCTCCGGCGTGCCCGGTAGCGAGGCCGAGGAGGGAGGCTTCAGATTTCTTGGGCTATCGTACGGGTGCCACTGCTGGCTCTCGTACTCACCGTTGAGGCCATCCGACCTCACCTCGTCCTCATCCTCCTCATCGACGTCTGCCGACCCGTCTTCCTCATCGTCGGCGTCACCGCCGTCGGAGCCTTCGACGGTGAGGAGGGACATGCGCTTCCTGATGTCCCAGTCCTCGTCCTCATCGTCGTCCTCCTCCTCCTCCTCGACGAAATCATCTTCTTCATCGTGCTCGATGAGATCCCGGAGCCTGGGAAGAGGGAACGTCGTTGTCCTTGCCGACTTGGACGGGGACGCCATTTCGATCCAGGCGAGGGGGAGGACTTGGCGAGCAAGACCCTGACAGGTAAACGCGTTTGTTTGCTTGCTCTCTTGTTTCGTTAGGTGTGGAAGGAGGATATGCTAGCAATGTGCTCGCTGGCTGCGACGTCGATCGGGTGATGGATAGGTTTTTATATGTGGACGCAACTCCAGCGCGACCGTGCGCGCCAATTCGTTAGCGCGCGGCCGTCACCATCCTTCCTCCCCGGAAGGTCTTTTGGACGCTCTGTGTCAAGAACTCAAGATGAAGCGGTAACCGCAAAGAGCGTCCTGACTGGGCCGACCCAAGTATGGCGCTCCTCACTTTGGCAGACTTCAAACGATGTATAAGTTGGTATTTCAGCTTCTTTGGAAAAAAAGTGTTGCAGTATTTTTTCTCGAAAAGTTATTGAAAGTACTCAATTTGTAAAGTTCTCATAAATATTAAAAATGATTTTCAATTTAAAATCAAATTCTTGTTTTCAAAAGATGTTATCAAAATTAAAATGTGTTCGAAACTTATATTAAATACCCATATATTCATAAAATGTGATTGAATTAAAATAAATCTATGTATATTTTAAAAAGTTCCTCTAATCATAAAAAGTTAAAATATTTAAATGAGAATTTAAAAAAATCGTGTATTCCACAATGATCACGAAATTAAAAAAATGTTCTTATTTGTCGAAAACTGTTCTTCAATTTCATAGAATAGTATTGAATTTGAAAAAATGTTGGTATATTTCAGATTTGGTGATTCTTAACGAAATTCTATTTCACCATTTTGTAAAATTAAAAATAATAATATGAAATCAGAAAAGATAAAAAGGAAATTCAAATAAAAAGAATAGAAAAAAGGAAAATCCAACCAAACAGAAAGAACAAACCAAAAAATACAAAATATGGTCGAACCTGAAAAGGAGGTAAAAAGGGGATATGATCCAACCAGTAAAAAGGAACCAATGTCTCAAAAAAAAGTAAAAAGGAACCAAATTTGTAATACAAAGAAACAAATCAAAGAAAATCAGTGGAAACCGACCAATAAATGGGCCAGGCCCATTGAGCGATGTGTTCCGCGGACTTGCCATGTAAGTCGGTCCATAGCACTTGTGCATATATGTCGATGGCCCGAGCCCCTTGACGCCCGGCAAGCTCGTTCGCTAGGTGCTCGCCCTCGGTGGATCCTATTTGGTGCTTTTGCAAACGGGTGCCTGAAGACCCCCCCCCCCCTCCTCCAACCCTCCATTGGACTTTCTATATTTTTAATCCGCAAAAGAACTAGGTTTCGGCAAATCGAACTAGCGACCTTTAGCGTCGAGGCAAGCTGGTATAAGCAACAAGCCACTCAGCGGGATGTGGTAAACTTCAATTTTTCTTTCTTGTATTCCTTTTCCTTCCTTTTTTGTTTTCCTTTTTTCCCTTTTTTCCTTTTCTATTTTTTCTTTTCTTCTTCTTCCAGGTAGATGAATTGTTTGCAAATACGTGAACGTTTTCTTCAAAATAGATGAACTTTTTTTTCAAAAGAGATGAGCTTTTCTTCAAATAGATGAACTTTTTTCAGAGTTGACGAACTTTCTTCAAATCCGATTAACTTTTTTTTCAAATTTGATGATTTTTTTTCAAAATCAATGAACCTTTTTACAGCGACGAACTTTTGTTCAAGATGGATGAACTTTTTTCTTTAAATATGTAAACCATTTTTGATTCACAATTTTATTTCATAGGAAATAGAAAAGTTGGGCGGTTTTTTCTTGGGATAATTAATTTTGTGCCTGTAGTTGTGTCCCCTTGGCAGGTTTACCCCTAGTTTTCGAAAACACTCGTTCCTGGCTAAACCACTTTGCTCGTCTTATGCTTTTGCCCTTTGACCATTTGATCATCACTTTGAAAACATCATAAAAAATCATACTAACTCAAAAAATGTGTATAAGATATCAAAATATTCAGAAAAACATCACTTATATGGGCATGCCTTTTGCATTCATGACAAAGGTGATAGAAGGTACCCATCTCAGTTTGAGCTCATATGATCTCAGCATGAACAGTAAAATTTGGATTAATTGAAAAGAATATCTAAAAATTCTAAAAAAAATTGGTGCCTAGAATTGACCAATGTTTTGAGTTCTTACCAAGTTGCATAAGGGAATGGGGCATTCGTGGAAGTCGTGGCAAAAAACCAAAACCGATGCTACAAAACAAAAGCATTTTGGAATGCTAATTTTGCTTTTTGGCCACGACTTCATGAATGTCATTCCCTAATGAAACTTGGCAGGCACTCCAAACATTGGCCAATGTTTGTCACCAAAAATTCAAGATTTTCTTGATTTTTTTTTATTTTTTCAGATTTTACTATTCATGTTGAGATTATATGAGCTCAAACTGAGATGGTTTTTTTTATGAATGCAAATCACATGCACATATAGGTGATGTTTTTCTTAACATTTTGATATATTATTTGCATTTTTCTGAGTTAGTATGAAGTTTTAAAAATGACGGTCAAAGGGTAAAAGCATAAGACAAGCAAAATGTTTTGGGCAAGAACAAGTGTTTTCAAAA